TCAGACGTGTGCTCTTCCGATCTCCCCAAAACCCCAAAACCCCAAAACCCCGAAGTGAGATATCTATGAATGCAATATTGAAATCTTTTACAAGTCTTATTTAATAGTTTAATAATTTGATTCCTAATTTGATTTCAATGGAAAGTTCTAGTACTTAAGGCTAAGTCATAAAATGTAAGGCAGCAGTTGCATGGGAAGCAAACAAGCCTCTTGATATTTGTGAAATTGAAGTTGCCCCTCCTTAAAAGGGTGAAATCAGAGTCAGAGTTGTAGCTAATGCACTATGCCACACTGACATTTATACTCTTGATGGCCATGATCCTGAGGGTCTCTTCCCATGCATCCTTGGTCATGAAGCTACAGCAATAGTAGAGAGCGTTGGTGAAGGAGTTACCTCAGTTCAAGTTGGAGACACAGTTATTCCCTGCTACACTCCTTAATGCATGGAAAGAGATTGTGTTTTCTGCATGAGTTAAAAGACAAATCTTTGTCCCAAGATTCGTGCAACACAAGGAAAAGGAGTCATGCCCGATGGTACTACTAGATTTTCAAAGGATGGTAAACCTATCTATCATTTTATGGGATGTTCAACATTTAGTGAGTACACTGTAATTGCTGAAATCTCAGCTGCTAAAATAAACCCATCTGCTGATCTCAATAAAGTATGCATGCTTGGTTGTGGTGTCAGTACTGGTTGGGGAGCTGCTATGGTGAATCCTGAAGTTAAACCAGGTACCACTGTAGCTGTTTGGGGTCTTGGAGCTGTCGGCTTATCTGTTATCTAAGCTGCAAAGCTTTAAGGTGCTGGAAAGATCTATGGAATCGATGTTAATACTGATAAGTTTGACCATGCAAAGAAATTAGGTGCTGATGAATGCATGAATCCTTTGGAATAAGATTCCAAAGATTGGTTATTAGGAAAAGAAAAATGGGGTATCAATTATACTTATGATTGCACAGGCAATGTTGCAGTTATGAGAACAGCTCTTGAAGCAGCCCACAGAGGTTTTGGAGAAAGCTGCATCATTGGAGTAGCAGCTGCTGGTAAAGAAATTTAAACTAGGCCATTTTAATTAGTTACTGGAAGATAGTGGAAAGGCACAGCTTTTGGAGGATGGAAGAGTAGAGAAGATGTTCCCAAGCTAGTAAACAAAGTCATTGTAGGTGAACTTAACATTGATGATTTTATTACTCACACATTTGAATCATTAGAAGATGTCAACTAATCAATAGACATTCTTCATTCAGGCAAATGCCTGAGAGCTGTAGTAAAAATTTCATAATAAGAATAAAGACCATCACTGAAAGTCAAAATTCTATCAAGTTTGAAGTATCATGGAGGTGTTCTTAAAACTGTTTCTCACTGGTCTTCAGTTAACAACTGTGAGATGAAATTTATGATTTATCTTCCAAATGAAACTATTAAAGAGCAGCGAGGAAAACCATACCCAGCTTTGTATTTCTTGGCTGGTTTGACTTCTAACCATGAGAATGCTCCGATAAAGAGTCACTTTGGATCTTTTGCTAAAAAGCATGGTATAGCTATGATCTTCCCAGATACTTCTCCAAGAGGTATTGAAATTGAAGGTATTAGAGAAAATTGGTGGTTTGGAGAAGGTGCTGGATATTATGTAGATGCTACAAATGAAAAATGGTCAAAGCATTTCAATATGTACAGTTATATTACTAAGGAACTACCAGAATTAGTTTCAGACCACTTCCATGTAGATAAAAATAAATCATCAATTACTGGGTTTAGTATGGGAGGAATGGGAGCACTAGCTCTTTATTTGAGAAATCCAGGCTTGTATTAATCAGTATCTGCTTTCAGTCCTATATCACACCCAACTAATTCTGAATGGGGAAAAAATGCTTTTGAGCATTATCTTGGTTCAGTTGATGCTGGTAAATCTTATGATCCATCACTATTAATCGCAGAATATGATGGACCAAAGACTAAAATCTTATTTGATCAAGGATCAAGTGACAAATTCTTACAAAATCTTTAACCTGAAACCTTCTTGAATGCTGCTCATAAGGCCGGCATTGATGTTCAGTATAACTTTAGAGAAGGCTATAGTCATGATTATTTCTATGTAGCTTCCTTTATCGAGAACCACATTGAATTCCATTCAAGATACCTTAATGCTTGAATCATAAAAGCTTCTGGAGTTTTAATTTGGACCAACAAGTGATTTATTGAATTCATTAAAAAAACTAAAAATTCTATTCTCATTTTATAGAAATAAGGGGTTTTGGGGTTTTGGGGTTTTGGGG